ACAGTTTCCAAGCTCAAGAAGAAGGATAACGCGCAAGATCACCTCGATTTCCTTCGTGGCAAGACGGATTCTTGTCTCTTGATTGACGGCGAGAGCCTGGCCCTCTTCCTCACCCACTTCAGGATCGAATTCGTCTCCGTCGCTGTGCAACTCCCGACGGTTGTTGCATGTCGGTGCTCGCCCACGCAGAAAGCCGAGGTTGCCAAGCTGATTAGGGAGTACACCAAGAAGAGGGTGTGCTGTATTGGTGACGGAGGCAACGATGTTTCCATGATTCAAGCAGCAGACGTCGGTGTTGGTATTGTTGGCAAAGAAGGTCGACAAGCTAGTTTGGCAGCAGACTTCTCGATTGAGCAGTTCTACCACCTGACTAAATTGCTTGTCTGGCACGGGCGCAACAGCTACAAGCGCAGTGCTAAGCTCGCTCAGTTTGTCATCCATCGTGGATTGATCATTGCGGTCTGCCAGACAATGTACAGTATTGCCATCAAGTTCGAGCCCGATGGTCTCTACAAGGTATGCCAACTTCTTCTGGTTGCGCACATCCATTTCTTTTGCTAACGTCTACTTGTAGGATTGGCTTCTCGTCGGCTACTCTACCGTGTATACTGCATTCCCCGTTCTCTCTCTTGTCCTTGATAAGGATGTGGACGAAAACTTGGCAAACTTGTACCCGGAACTGTACAAAGAGCTCACTTCCGGCCGTTCCCTGTCTTATCGTACCTTTTTCGTCTGGGTTGCTGTTTCGATCTATCAAGGCTGTACTATCCAAGGTCTGTCACAGCTCTTGACCGAAGTCGACGGACCCAAGATGGTGGCGGTCTCGTACACCGTACTAGTTCTCAATGAGCTTCTCATGGTCGCCATCGAGATCACGACGTGGCACCCTGCCATGATCATCTCCATTGTTGGCACGTTTCTGATTTATGTCGGCTCCGTGCCGTTCCTTGGCGGTTACTTTGATCTCCAGTTCATCATCACTTTGTAAGTCTACTTGCGTCCATGCTTCATCAGAACTCCGTAGACTGACACGATGCAGGGGATTCATCTGGCGCGTCCTCGCCATCGCGGCGATATCTCTCATCCCACCCTATGCGGTGAAGCTCATCAGGAGGACGATGAAGCCGCCCTCGTATAGAAAAGTGCAGAGCACGTAGACATTAGCTTGTTTAGTTATCATTGTTGTATGAGATCTTCTTTGTATCTATCTTCAAAGCTCTGTGTTAGGGCGTCTGGGATCGGTGTCAGCGAACGGATCCGCGGCCATTCAAAGGGAACGGCCGCTGCGGTTTTTGCATTATTAGGCGGAGTTTGACGGGGGGACCTGGGAAACTGTTCTTTCCCAAGTTTGTACGGCATTATTTGGATGGAACTATCGACAGCCCAGAAGAATTAGACAGCGTTATCGAAACTTGAGTTTATTGGGCAACGTCCTGCTCCCTTTTTTTTGCCTCGGTGTGTTTTACATGGCTTCGCTCTATGAGATGAGAAATGAAACCCCTCACCCTGGTGAGTTTTTTACTCCTACAACTTGAGAACAATCCAGTCCTTCAAGATATCCGGGTTCCGCCTCTGCATCGCGCCCAACTTACCCCCCACAGGCCCTTGCAGCTGCCCGCCGTCCCGCCACAGCTTGGCGCCAGCGTACGCCTGGACGAAACCCTCGGGCCCGGAAACCACAAAGACGTTCTTTCCCCGCGGCGCGGCGTCGTCGGCGGAGCAAGCGCAGTCGTCCTGCTTGAAAAGGCTTCTCTTCCCGGCGTTGGGCGCGCCGTCGACCATGCCGACGTGTGCTGTCTGAGAGTGGAATTTGCAGCCTTCAACGGCGTGTGTCGGCGTTGTACCAGCAGAAGTCGTGGGGGAGGATTGGAGAGTGAGCGCGGCGGAGAGGTCTGCTTCGCGGACGGCGGTGCCTTCTTGGTCTACTACCACGCGGACGTCGAGCTTGTCGCCGTATTTCACTTTGAGGGCGAGGAGGTCCCTGCTTATAGGCGAGGGGGCGGCGAGTGTATCTGCGGAGAGGAGGGCCTCGGCCTGGGATCCGGGGGTGTTTGTCGATGATGAAGAGAAGGGATTCCACCAGCTTCCCGACGGCGACGATGACGACGGCTTCACCTGTGGCGGCACGGTATGCCCCCCGACCAGCTGCTCTCGAATCTCATCGCGGCTCCTGACGGCCCAGAAGATGGTCATGGACGGTCCGTCTGCGAGCGGGAGGACGGCGTGCGCGGCTTGTAGTGCGCTCGCGATGCCCGTTCCGCCTGCGAGGAACACGACGCGGTCGCCTCGTTTGCCCAGGCGGGAGCGGAGGTCGAATTCGCCGTGTGGACCGCGGAGTTCGACTTTATCGCCCTTTGTTGCTGGGCCATCTGATGGTGAGGAAGGGGGTGCTAGACGGCTCAGATATGTTGAAACTTCACCCCCTCGTACGGCGCGAACGTAGAGGCGGAGAGTGTCCTCGTCATACGAGGAGCCTGGGACGGGAGGGAGGGGCGTATACTCCCTCGCGACCTGGATCTGAGGCTGCTTCACCTCTACGCACCATAGGTCGAAGATGTCCCAGAGGGAGGATATGCTTGGGACGTTGCTGCTGTGGGACGAAGGCGGTGCCTTGAGGGTTAGGATGAAGGAGGTCGGGGAGACCTGCTCGCGAGCGACGACGTCAAAGGGGATGAACTTGCGGGCTGGGCCGAGGGCTGTTTGCTCGGCTGGGTCGTTGGATTGCGGGGTGGAGGGGAAGAGCCATTGGGCGTCCCATGCTATGCCGCCTACTGCGAGTAGGAGGAGGACGGGGAGGTAGCGAGGGCTTATGAAGGTTCTGGCCCTGCGTTTGGAGGGCCGATAGGGTTGGGGGGCTGTGGCTGAAGGTGTCGTGGATTTGAGGCGGTGGTAACGCGTTGTTGTTGAGGATGAGAGTGCGGATGGTGATGTTGGTGTCATTCGCCGAATTGTCCAGGCTGAAGAATGGCGTGATGGGTACTGTGTCGGATACAGTGGAGTTGTTGCCAGTGTCGTTGACCGGGATGCAGCTGCGGCGGCCGGAGTGGCACGGAGCTGAGGTCGGATATGGATGAGTGAGCGCCCGGCAATCGGCCGGAGAGCCGCGCCGCCGGCAGAGATGAATGTAGAAGCCCCCATCAGTTTCTCGGCACCACCTGGTCTGATTAGGAGTAGACGCTTTATGAATAAATTGGCGCGTAGCTTCTCCAATAATCTCTTTCGAGAAAGAGGTGCAATGGGTGGTGACGAAAGTCGATGATGAAAGCTACAAGTGGGCTAGTTTCACTGAGCGAAACTGAGATGCGCACGGTCACGTGAGTCGCTTGATTGACTTCGGTCAAGAAACACTTACACGCCTATTATCGATAGATATATTTGTTCAACACTATTTTGACGTAGTCAACACTTGATTGAATGAAAATCTTGGTTCAGGTAGTTTCGGGTGTAGTAAACTACTTCGTCATTGGATTTCACAGGGCACTGGGACAAATCCTAAGTGAAGTTGACCTCAAACCAGAAATCACATCAGGTCCCGCAAAGCAAGGGGTACTCAAGTATGCAACTTTGTAGAAGTCGTTTCAAATAATTTGCTTCTCCACAGAGGGTGAAATATGCAGATATTTCAAATAGCTGCTCTTTCGTCAAGCTGCAAGACACATAAGTTGGTACATTGATGGCGCTCAGGATGATCTCTTTGTCGTCCCTGACTAGCTTGTGCGAGTGCTATTTTCTGAGGAGGACGCTGCCCCAGATCTTTTAGTTCGAATGAGATTCCACAGGAGCCTTCTATCAAGTACTGAGAATGTGGTACTTGATATCTGGCTCTCATACTGCTGTAGGTAGGTGTAAGTGATCTTATGAGGTCACACACCGAATCTTTCATTCCAGCTCAGCCATGGTCTCAAATCACGCGAGGAGAGCATAAAAACCCGTCTATAGATTGATATGGGCAACGATCTGTTGTCCATTGAACTGGCAAGCCTTGGAACCGGACGACTGATCAATGGCGTTTGTGATATGTGAAAGTTTGCAGCTCTGACAGAGGGCTGAGCAGACATCCACAACCTCAAGTCCAAAAGCTTGACTCCTCCCTTCTCGGTGTTAAAGGATACTCTATAATCACTAATACGTGCGTAAGGACGAGTACTATAGGGGGAAGGCGAAGGTGGTTCTGAAAAGTTGCATTTTAGATAGAGAGTCTTGATGTTTTTTCACAGTCATTATGCTTCTTAGTATTCTCCTGTTATTTTTTCCCGTTAGAGCTTATTGTAGCAGGATCTCGACGTTTTTTGTTCGTGTCAGCATTTTCTTTCTCAACGCCATGGCCCTAGAGTAACATTTCTGAAAGGCTGGCTGCCGGCTGATTGTGCTTTTGAGCAAGTCAAACCTTACTATTGGCTCTGAAGTTTATCGTTGTCATTAGTTTAAGCTAATTGAACGATCTCACATCACTCTTTATGACCTTACATCACTCTTCATGGCCTCACACCACCCTTTACGGTCTCAAATCACCCTTCATAGTCTCATATCACTCCTCACGGAGTTACCAGAGAATGTTCACTCACGGATACGTTCGGGGCACGAGTGTCGTAGCGTGAAGGACGCCTCGATCTTGCTCGATAGCAGCCACCGACCTTGGGCTCAAGAACTGGCATCAAGTAGAACGACCTCTCTGCCACAGAGCGCAAGAAACTGCGTCTTCCTCTACCTTAATGAAACCAGAAAACTATCTTTGTGCGAAGGTATGGAGAAGAGGTCGAGAGCCCTGGTTATATAGCATCTGAGTATCTCGTAGGCGGTCTTGATGATGATGAAGGTGTTTCTGCCCTTGAAGTCTCTCATATGAACCTAGAAAGTCTACATCTAGGGTGCTTGAATCTCTACCAAGTCTGAAAATCATGAAACCCCCTGTGCCATCGTGGAGATGTCCCACGCTCTATGTTATGATACAAGCAACTCTTACACCCGGCCAGCTTCCCTACGCAGACACATCCCCCCTATCAAAGTCTGATGATCTTTCTATCCTCATCAATACCACCCCGAAACATGTCAGCAACGACTCGGCCCCCGAGAACCGACTCGTTGACGATACCCTCAACGTGCTTCGGCTCAACCCGACCATACCAGATCCCCTTCCCGGCCAGAGGATGCTTCTCCCCATTAGCCATAAGCTGCCCGGGCGGGATATAGATAATGATATTCCCCGCAAACTTGTGCCCGCCAATATGGCTAATCAACCCAACCCTCGCCGACATTTTCTGATACCTCCTCTCACCGTCCTCAGACGCCTCAGGCGCCGCAATCCTCCCAGCCCCCTCACCACTCTCATCAACCACAACAGGTCCCCTCAAAACACCAACCCCAACCCCCTCAAACCTCCTCTCAAACTCATCCCTCAACACGGGCCCCATGACGCCGCACCGCATATCCCGCCCGCCGTGCCCGCAAATCAAAACCAGCACCTCCTCCACGTCCCGAACCCCGTACAGCAGCGACCGGTAGGCCTCCTTGCGCGTCAGCCGGTCCCGGTGGACGGGCGACAGGCTCCCGTCGTGCATCTTGTGCAGCTTCTCGGGCAGCAGGTAGCCCTTTGCGAGGGCCTGGACGCTGTCGAAGCTGACGCGCGGTAAGAAGGGCACGTACTTGAAGCTCGGGAGGAGGTAGGCGCTCGTGGTCTGCAGCTCGCTCCGTCGGGGCACGGAGGAGGGGAAAGAGGCGTTTAGGGTTGAGATGTTGTGCCAGGGCTGTTGGTTTGGCGGGAGGTTTCACTTACCGTCAGCCCAAGGTGTTCTCATACAATCTTGAATAAAGGTCCACGAGAGACGTAAGGAAGAATCTTTACGGCACCAAGAGACATAACTGACGACGCTCCAGAATGTGCTGGGCCTCAGAAATCCACGAGGCACGTACACTCGTACGTGCGTTCCAAGTACTAACTGCCCCATAGCAGCAGCTACGGAAATAGAAGAAGAACGAGAAGATCATCGAGAGAAAACTTACATCGCTATACTCCCCCCCGCGGCCAAACAACTCCTTCAAATCCGCCGCGAGGTTATCCCCGCTATTCTCCTCCTCGATCCTCGACACCCAATCGTCCTGCCCCGTGCACACGAGCACCTGCTCGGCGTACCCCGAGACGACGCCGTTGAGCGGGCTCTTGAAGTCAATGTCCAAGCCCTCGGGCATCGCCGGCGTGGCGGCGCACTCGCACGTCGGCGACGGACATGTCGGGACGAGCTCGAACGGCGGTGGAGGCGCCGATGGCCTGCTTGCCTGTGGCCTTGCCTTCGACTTTGGGGACGAGGACGATGATGGCGATGCTGAAGATGACCAGAAGCTCTCGCTGGTAGTGAAGGTGCGCTGCTGCTGCTGCTGCTGCTGCTGCCGCCGCGTCGGTAGCGATGACGTTGATGACGACACTGACGGGGATGAGATGGCCGCCGCGCGATGGCCTCGCGTGAGACGCGGCGCGGCTCTCGCTATCGAATGCATCACGTCCCTTTCGATATGTGATACCCGGATACGTCTCTTCGCCAATGCAATGCCAAGTGTGCACTCTTTTACTATGCCGGGATTCCGACGAGATGCCGGGCGCGCGTGTACCAGAAGGGGGTGGTGGGTGGCGTCCGCGACACCTCACTCAGACACAGAGCCGCGATCGACGTCACCAATCGAACAGGAAGAGAGAACAAAAAAACGGGTCAGTTTTCATCAGATGCACGAGTACCTCCATACGATGAACAATACGACAAGTTTCCGCGGGATCGTAAAAAGGTGCCCCGGTGAGTTGAGGGAGTGCGAACTTCGCAAGATGAGGCGCAGATTGGTAATTGGCAATTGCAGACAGGTATCCATATCTCTCTCTCGGTAGTTGATTCACTCAGAAAAGTTCAAGCCCCCCTCGGCGCTCGCTGCGGACCTTGGCCCCGGCGCCGAGCGGGAGTGAGAGAGACCGGGACACCTCGAAAAGGCTACCCGAAACCCCCGGCGGGGATTTTTAAATTCTGTGGCGCCCGCGTAGCGATGCGATTCATGCGGCTGTCTGATCACTTCTCTTGTTGGTGGGCTTCTACACCGTAATGCATAGTAAAATGGTAATGTTAGGTAATCCCTCATTTCTCACTGGCGCGGCCGATAGCCGGCGGGGAGATGGAGAGCCCACCACCTGTCCAGTACCGATGTACTATGTATGTACGGATAGGTACCTTGGCCTGTAAAGTCCCCACGTTCCCCGATGTTTTCCTGCTTCTCGAGAACGGGTATCGCCGGCCGGCCGGTGCTGTAAAAGTTTATGTCCGGCTGACACATCCCTATCATTCCGCTACGGACACAGCTTCTCTATTCTACGATACTACATATCTCTCGCTGTCGTATGCGGCTTTGCACGTGAAAGCAAATTTCCGTATCCGAACCCCGTCTGCCCGTTTCCAGGGGGTGAGAAGGGGGGGGGGGTGAACTCCGAAGGTCGTCAGTCCCGAGGCCCGGAGGAGGGTGAGGTAAGCAAAAACGCAAACGGGCCCCCGTCAAGGGTAGTTCATCCGCCTCGGAGCCGAAATTCGGATTACACCATGATCCTTCCATCGTCCATGTACGGAGTACTTCGTACCGTCCTAAGAGGGCCTTACCGAGTTCGGGCGGGAAACCGATTGAGTGAAAGACAAACGAGCAGCGCACGGGCAGAAAATGGGTAGGTAGCTTTCCAGGTTTATTGTGCTCCGTACACTAAGTAGCATCCGTATAGCGCGCGCGGGAAACCCTTCACCCCTGGCCTGAATCCATGGAACCTATTTGATTTTCTATCCGCCCATATTCAGGGATTCCACGACTCCACGACCGGGGCGTGGTAATGTGGGAGACCGGACAGACACAGACGCAGAGAAAACGGGCAAAACAGGGCCTCATTGTGAAAAGAGTTGGTCGGACATTGAATACCAGAGCCAGCCTCCCATCAATCCAGCGCACATTTACCCGGCATCTCATTCAAAAACCCCGAAGTAGGCTGGGGGGTCCGGGGGCTGGACCTGAACCTGCACTCTTGTTAAACGACGGGATGCCGAAGAACAACTCACGTTTTCTCTCTCAATCTCAAATCTCAATCTCGATTTCACCGACCATGACCAGCTACAACGACCGGGTATCGCTCCCGGAGTGGATGCAAATCTCACCCGACTGGAGCGCAACCGTTCAAGAGGACTTTCTCCAACCTAGACTAGGAAATAGTAAATACTAGCGAAACCGTCGGCGCACTGTATGAAGCGGCAAAAGGCTCCTGATTGCCCCGTCGTCCAGTCCACGGCCCGGAAGTCAACGGCATCTAGCCCAGTGTGCCCCCAAAAGCTTGGCGATCGCGACACGAGGAGCGGAGAATTCGCAATCAACCTATTGATAGACGGCTCACGAAAAGAATGACGCGCCCACTGAAAGTATACGAATATAGATAAGATCCGTATCCGTTCAACTACCTAAATAACAGCGGATTATCCGTAGCTCAGTGTGAGAGATCTCAGATCCGGTTATTCCCATCCCCCGTGTCCGTGTCTGACTTGACTCTGGCACCTCTGCACATCATGGCCCAAGCTTCCGAGACCATGTCTTATAAGCCGGCAGGCAGGTATGGGAAGGGGGGGGGGGGGGAAGCGGAGTGGGGGATTGAGACATGGGAAATCGCAAGGGCAAGACACAAACTACCAGAACCGGGCGAAATCAAATCATTGTGCGGCTCTTTTCGGGAAGCGGGAGTTTTAAAGTAGGGAGCGACCAACTGAGCAAGTCAGGGTGGAATGTGTGTTGTGGTCCGTGGATGGCATGGCCCACTGGGGTCATGAAATAAATGGATGGGATGAGATGGAGGGAGGGGGCTAGGAACTTGGGAGAGACGATCGGAGGAGGGAACAGCACACACACCCTCTCTCAAAAGCCGCTTTTCTCTCTCCCCTTCCTGATTACCATCCCTCATCTTCCTGTAAGTGAACATGTACTCCATACGTGCAGACAGTAAGGGTACAGATACCGTTGACCTGGCAAGACCCCTCGACGACTCTCGTCTTCCGCGCCTATCCAAGCCCTCCGCGTACCGTACCCATGCAGAAAATCAACAGAACAGCAACTGCAAGTACTCTGTACAGGGGGGGGGGGGGCGAGAAAGCAGAGATGCAAAGAAGAAGATGAGATGGGAAAAAATGCAGAAAAGTAACCGATCCCTCTCCCAAGATCCAGCAGGCTAAAAGCCAAGGGTACGGGAAGAAAAGAAGAAGAAAAAAAGGGAGGGGGGGGGGGGGCAATGGTGATTGAGACTCTGAGTTGTTTGGCACTTTTCCTCCTTCTTTTCTTCCTATTTCTCTCTAGTAAAATCTGCACATCTGCAGAGTTGCATGTACCGAGACGAGACCAACAGCGAAGGGGAGAAGGAAAGAAAAAAAAAAGAGAGACACCGCATTGCATTGCATGTCGTATCTGCTTTCGTGCAGCACCGCGAGATTGGACTCTCCACTGAGGGATGCCGAGGGGCAACAACGTACTGCGTACATACTTGCTTCAGAATCTGCGTGCTAAGGTATTTCCTGCACCATCAGCAGGAGCTGGCGGTGGTGGTGGTCGTCTCCACGACCGGTGTGTGGTTCCGCCTCACCGGTCCGACAACCCGATTCAGGTCGTCGTTGGTTCGCTCGCGGTTCCGCTCCAACGACTTTTTGTTCGCCAAGAACTAGCTCAGGTATCCGTAGGCAGGATCAAAACTAGACAAGGTTCCGTTGAACGTGCAAGTGAAGGTTGATCGAGGTTACAAAAACTTTGCAGAGAGTTGTGGCAAAAAAAAAAAAAAAAAAAAAGGACCGCCGTCATCAGCCCCCGTCGTCTTTCCTCTCTCTTTGCTGACCCTACTCGTGTGGTGTAGGCTGAGACCGCCCTCTTTCTCAGCCCCAGCTCCTGTCTACCGCTGATCATGGTCAAGTACCTGAGGTAGAGTTGCATCCCGGGATTTAGACGCACCGTTGAGAAGCCGAGCCGACACATACCGCATGCCGCCTTCCGCATGCCAATCATGCGACTGACCTGAGACATGCAGACCGATCCCTCCCCCATTCTGCAGTGTTCACGGTACAAAGGGATGACATAGGGCAGAACAAGATGGAGACTGTGTGCGTGGTTCGGCCAAAGTGCTTGGGTGGTGTCTTCTCATCGCCCCTCTTTCGTCTACATACTGTAGGTATCGTGTTTACATGTCATGTTGCCTAGGGTGTCCTCCATAGGCTGCCTGCCAATATTCTCTCAACCACATGGGGCACACGTCCTGTTCCTCTTCTCGGCTGCGCTCGGCCGTTGCGTTGTTTCCTTGGATTGATATCCTCATATACAGGGTATATAATGTTACATAGATGAACGAGAGCAACTGTCTGCATATACAGCCGTACTGTTAACAGTCTCTCCGATCTCGGGTTAAAAGCAGAAAAATTGCAATTGTCCAAATGCGCCCTCCAACTCCGTGAAATGCAATGCAAATTTGAAAATGACAGAAATGGCAACCATGGTTGCGGAAGTATGTCTTTCAGCCCCGCGTGTAAACACTGTCCGCGATAGGCCAGTATGTCGTGTCCATCGCATCCTTCATTTACCAGCATTTGCCCTCGTTTCCGTTGGCGAACACTGCTGCGCCAACCGATGGTGTTGCTCCGGGCTGAAGATCTTGCAGAAGACGTAGAGCGTCGTGTCGATGTTCCAGTGCGGCCCGATGAATTCGTGCCTCGTCCCAAACCATACTTGCAGCTTCGACTATCGCCTTTGCAACGGCCAATTGATCCAAAAGCATAGGAAGGTCTGATAATAAACCCTGGGCAGTGAGAACGTCGGCAGCCTCCAGTATCACATGGCTCATGAATGGAGGAGGCGCGCTCAGTAGGGTTCGCCGAGCTTGGAGTAGTGCTTTCAACATGCCCGTGATCTGCAGTACCTGTTTAGCTTCCTCTTGGATCCTCGAGAGGTATGACATCCGTTTTGCTGCCGAGATTCGGCTTGAGGCGTACGAGTGTCGGTGAACCTTTACGAGACCGTGGTGGAACAGAAGATGAATCGTAAGGAATGTGCTGAGGCTCCCAGCCTGAGCAGCCAGGTCCATATTGCTTGGGCTGTAGGTCAACTGTCCAGGAAGTGATCCACGCCAGCTGAGTAGCCTTCTGACGGAGCTTTCAACAATTATTGCTGGCTCTCCATCCGAGACCAGACCGTGTTCATTTTTGTAGACGCTAGACATGATGTCTCCCCGGATGACCACTAGCTGGAGGACGTAGGCTGTTAAGGGTAAACGTTGATCCGCCATTTTAGACGAGCTCGAACCGAGCGCTGAAAAGAAAGGTGCCTGAGAAGCCTGTTGACTTTGAAACACATCCGATTCGCATGGTAACCGGATGAATATGTCTATCGAGATGGCCGCACTGATCAAATCGTTTGCTTCGCAGGCTCTAGACGTAGACATGTAATAGACCGCCAGGAGTAGTCGA